CTACAAAATGTATAATTTTTCAAAAGTTTTAAAATTTTTTCTTAAATTTCACTTTTCTTAAAGAATGTCCTCATGACAGGATCAAGGAATCGAAACACTGGTGAAAAGTTAAATTTTTGATTTTTTTTATATGCATTCGAAAGCCCATGATCCGCAATTACCAAACTCAAATTTTTAACTCATTTGGATGTACTATGGTAAAGTTAGTCAATATCGACTTTTGACCACTACCAAATTACTATCAAGAAAGTAATCAAACATCGTTCCATCAATATTTATTAGAATTATGATACAACAAATCAGAGTTTTTTTTTTCGTATAATATACTAAAACAGACAGCATCAATAGCTGAAAAAAAAATGACCTATTTAAATTCTTATATATTATATATTTGTTGAGATATTGTAGTTCAACATGAATGAGAAAGGTCACAATTTATGACTCCACAATAATCGATGTTTGACATTATATCTGCTGCCATTTTTTAAAATCAAAAGTTCGGGACGCCACAGAGTTCATTTCTGTCTCTCTCTTCTGCATACTGATTTTTGGTAATTTTTCCAAAAGACAAAAAAAATATTTTTAGCGGTTTTCATTGGCATGACATAGTTGTGAAACAAAACAAATGTGACATTGGGAATCAGCGTCAAAAACTGCATTGAGATAACTATATTTTCGAGAAATTTTTTTCTTGCAAAAAAAAAATAACTCTTGGGGAACTACGTGGCAAAATTTTAATAAAATACAGCCGTACAGCACCACAGTCATATTTATTTTGCTTTACAATCGTGTCATGGCAATGAAAATTGATAAAAGTGGTTTTTTTTCTTTTGAAAAAATTGTCAAATACGACTCGGTACGACAAAAATATAAATCCAGTTTCGTCCCAAACTTTAGGTTTCAAAAAATCGCAACAGACATACTGTCAAACATCGATTATTATGAACTCGTAAATTGTGACTTCTCTCCAAGGATGAAAGAGTGGAATTCTAGAATTCTATAAATTTCGTATCGTATCTTATAAAATTCTGTGGAATTATCTTGAATTCTGTAGAATTTCATAGAATTCCAGAATTCGCTCTTTTACCCCTTGCCTCTCCCACTCATGTTGTACTACAAACTTCGAGTAAATATATGATATGTAAAAATTTAAATATTCTCTCATTATTTATTCAACAATCAACAAGATCAATAATAGCTATTTTGTGTTGACCTTAACTCTGACTACATCTGTCACTCAAAAGATAACTTTTCTCTTGTTTCTTTTCACAGAAAAACACAGAAATAGAAAGTATCTTAAACCTTGACTACTCACTTTAATTTGAACAGTTTTTATTAGTTTCCATGTCTTGCAATGAATGTTCAGCATGGAAAAACTCATTATTGCCATTAGATGTGGATGGTAATCATTTGAAAAATAAAATATATTTAACGTTTTTGTTTTTGATGGGATTAATCTTCTACTGTTCTCTTGATTTGTTGTTGTTAATGTTTCATATCTTAAATTCCATCACAATGCAAAAGTCCAACGGTTTTCTTCGATTGACCATGTGACAGCTTGGAAGTCACAAATTAATAGATATTGATTTCGATCCGATAAATCCATGTTTGACAATTTTTTTCTTGTAGAGAAATTTCATTGGAGTTTCTTTTTTTTCTCACGATTTCAAGATTATGATAACTTGTGATTATTCAAAAGTGTCGTATCAAAAACAAGACCAATAGAAAGAAATTATTGATGAAGACATCCTTTCGACTATTGTTAGTTAAAATAAATTTTTCAAAAGAACAAAATATAACCGATAAACTTGTCTAAATCTAATCATTTAATTAGAAGTACATAATTAATATTCTAATAGTTCATTGAATAAATGTAACAACTTATATCATATTTAATAAGTTTGTTTTGAGTAAGATCCAATTAAAAAAATCAATAATTAAAGTTTTTATATAAAACTTCAAAAATTATCAATTGATTTTAGTCTTGAAACATTGAAGTGTTAATAGTAATATGATCTATGCTGTTACCTTTGATGTATTTAAAACAAATGAAACTCAAACGTATTTTGATGCGAGTTACTCATTTACTGTAGGAACATTGTTAATTTATCATTGGCATGTGTACGCGTCCATCAACTCCAAATTGGGTATCATATGAGACTTTGTTTAAATTAGACATTAATTTTTCTTTTTTTTCTTTAATAAATGCGTATTATTATATTCTTTAAGCTTGTATATTTTGTATGCGTTAGTTTCTTATTTTGTTTTGTTTTTTAGTATTCAAAAGAGAATAATTATTGAGAAAACTATGCACGTATTAAAATATTTTACTTTTGTATGTTACGCCTCATTGCAAGTCTATCAAACAATATAGGAAAAAAAAAAGAGCAAAAAAGGGAATGAAAGAAACAAAAATGCGCAACCTTCTCTCGTACAATCGAGTTATCTTATCCAAATAACAATTTAGATAATAAGAGTATGGCCGCCGTGCCAGTCAGTCAGTCAGTCAGTCAGTCATTCGGTCGCACACTTTCATTCGGTACGTATTTAAATACTAAAATAAAAAAACACTAAAAACCTCTGTCCAACTAATCCAAACAAATAATAGTATCATCATCCAGGTTCATTTCTCTTATACACACCTAGAATTGAACTGTTCTGACCTTGATCTTTATATATTAGTTCGATCATCTGGTTTAATAAAAAAAAAAAAAAAGAAAAAAGAAAAATAACTGATGATAGATATCCAATTTCATTCTATTTCAGTCCAGGCACATACATTGATACATGTGTATGATATACATGGGCAAAATACCTCGACGAGCAACAAAAAAAGAAAAAGCGATGAGCTATGATCATATACAAAGACGATGTCAGTCGACTGTCTACTATTATTATCGGTGAGTAATTCTTGTAATGAACCATTTCATTGCTATAGGTTTTTTTATTTTTGATTATAACATTTCTTTTTTTTGTTTTTTGGATGTTTTGTTTATACATTCTTTTCTACATGAAAATCAATCGATCATCATCGACAAAATTTATAACAATGCTTTAGTCAGAAAGATTATTGATCGTTCATAAATAGTTAAGAGAGAAGAATAAGAATAAGAACCGGTGTGTTGTGTTTTGTATATATGTTTAAGCTTGCCGTCGTTATCTCTCTTGCTTTATTTACTCTGCTCTTGACTGGTTGTGCTCTCTTTTCAATATTTGCTCTTCGCTGTGACTTCATAAAAAAAAAAGGCAAAGTACGCATCCAAACAGAGAAGAGCATGAGGGAGAGAAAGAAGAGGTATGTATATGTCGTTTCTATTTGCTTTTACTGATAACAGCAAAAAAAGAAAAAATTTGCGTTGATTTTCTTTTCTTTTTTTTCTACATCAAAGAAAAAAAAAAGAAAAGAAATGTATAATAATCATTGGTTGTTCGATAGTATTTATTCAAATGCAGCAAATAAGATTTATAAGTAAAATGTATATTCAATATTTCAAACGATGGAGACAAACGAGGTCACCATAGATAACATATTGACCTAGCTGCTGTAGTTAGAAATAAGAAATTGGCCATAAATTTCAACTTGAATTGATTTATAAATAAGAGAGTAATTGAAAGACTAAGACGAACAATCAATATTTTAATATGTATCCTTTTTTTTTTATTTCGGCAAGTGTGTTGATTTTTTAAATCTGATCCTTCGCACCTCATCATCTCGTAAGAAGAGAGAGACAGAGAGAGGAACAATAACAAAAAAAAAAAAGGCAATTTCCAATGTCATTAAACCATAAAATCATGATCATCCATCACGGATTTAGTTACATTCACACGCGTATGTAGACAAATGCACCTGTCGACCTGTTTTCGAGAGTCAACCTCCTTGAAAATCTAATTTTAACAAAGAAAAAAAAAAAAAGAAGACTTTCATAGAGACAGAGGAGAGAATGAGAGGAGAGAGCACATATAGAACACGCCGTGCATGTGCGCATATTTCACTTCCAAACAATTATAAGTGGTGGCTATATGGGCGCTGACTTGTTTGAAAGAAGCGCTTGTGTTTGTGAGTAAGAGAGCGAAAAAAAAAGAAGAGAAGAGTGCGATGTCGACGATGACGGCAGCAAGCAGCAGTTGGAGAATACGAAGAAGAAGAGAGAAGAAACGGAGAGGGACGAAGAGAAAAATCATACTTTGCCGCCCCACTCCGAGTTTTTATTTAACTTGAACGCACACAACACTACTACACACATATAAGCACTTAAGAAAAAAAAATTTTTTTTGGCCAATACGCGTCGAGTAAACGAATATCATCATTTCTGAAAAAAAGGTAACTTATATAATGATTAGTATCCGTAACAAATAAGCATAGCTGAGAAGAAAAGTCGAAATCAAAAAATCTATAAAGTGTTAAATCTATTTGTTGCATGTTCTCACCTCTATCACATTATTGCCGTCGTACGTCTTGACTGCTGCTGCTCTTTTTGAAAATGAATGTGAGTGAAATGCAGCTCTATCTTTTTTCTCTCCCCTCGTTGTGATGAGTGTCGTTTTACAACCACAGGCAAGCGATAATTTTTATCAAAGTTTTGTAGCCCCCGCTTGGAATGGGAGCAGCAGACGCAGGAAGAGTGAAATAAAGAAAAATCGTTGAAAGAACAGGAGAGAAACAAGGGTCTTATCAAAAGAGAGCTTATCATCCAACACAAGCACGATCATCATTACCATAAAAAAAAAACAGTTTATTCAATGTGTATATTAAGTCTTACAATTCAGATTTTCATAAACCTATGGAAGATGTTTCTTTTATTTCTTTCGTCAAACGGTAAGCTTCTTTGGACCAATTAGAAAAAATATGTCACCACAACCAATGACGTTTTAAGAAGAAGAAGAAGAAGAAGAAAAGAAAAAAAAATATATACCGAAAAATAATAAGACATTTATTTTTAAGGATTTGTTTTCTATTCTTTATTTGTTATCTTCTTTAGTGACATCGTCATTTTATCAACATGTCATCTGCTTGGACACCAATTGATGAAAAATCATTATCGACAAGAATTATTAAAAATGAAAATGCAGATGATGAAGATAATAGTAGTCTTTCAAATACAAGTGGTACAACATCATCATCAACAAATAGTCGAATATCATTAAGAAATGCATTACAACATAAAGAACAACAACAACAGCAACAACAGCAACAGCAAGTCACTATTTATTCAGAACAACCATCATCAACGACAACAGTAACAAATATAAATACTGTTTCTTCAAATGATTTACAACAAGAACAGTATCCATCAACAAATGGTAAAATTTTAATATAAATCTAAAAATAAAAATTTTCCTTATTTTTATTTTTAAGAATCACCTTCATTTCCTAGCCAATTTCAACAACAAGGTCAATTATCTTATGCTGAAACAGTAGCATATTATGGAGATGATATAGTCAATGGTGTTGATCATCTTCAACAACATCATCATTCACAAAATTATTCCCATTTACAACAACGTAAAGAAATATTTCGTTTGAAATTTTTTTTTTTTTTTAATATTTTTATGTTTTCTTATTTTTCATAGCTCTTTATTCTCCTCCAACACCAAATAATCATCATCAACAATCGATTTCATCACCTCGTTTTAATTTACATCATACATCACAATCTGACTATCGTCATACATCTTATGATGAAGCAAATCGTTATGTTACAAGTGCAAGTACACGTCGTACATCAACATCACCAAATAATCCTATTTATGAAAATGGTGTTAACCAAGGATGGACATCAAATGAAACACAATCATATTATGGTTTACCAAATACTTATGTACAAACATCAGCAGCAAATTTAAATGATTTAACATTTCTTCAACAAACACAATTAACTAATAATACAGATCAAATACAATTTTGGAACGACAATCCTACAGTTGGTCCATATATTCAATGTATAGGTAAGTTTTTTATTTTTAATTTTTTAATTTTTTTTTAATAAATTAAATAATTTCTTAGATGGATATTATGATACAACTGATGGTCGAGAATGTGTTAATTGTGGAGCTATATCAACACCATTATGGCGTCGTGATGGTACAGGTCATTATTTGTGCAATGCTTGTGGTTTATTTCATAAAATAAATGGTTCAAATCGACCATTACCACGATTGCCACGACGTCCAGTAAACATAAAATTTTTTTATTTTATAGACTAATTGTTCATCATATATTGCTTTGTTTTTGTTTAGGAAGATGAAGATCGTCCTCGAACTTCAACTATTGAAACTGGTCTTCCTGTAGGTGATCCTGTTTGTTTACCAAATGTATCATCATTAACCAATGTTTATTCTCATCATCATCCAATACATCCAAATCAAATTTATCATTCATCAACAACACAATCATCACGTCGAAATAATACGTCGAAAGCATTATCGTCACTTGCACTTGGTAATCCTGATTCACATTATACACCTTATCCAACAATGAAAACAAATACAAATAATGGTAATGATACAACTAATTCTCAAACTCAATTACCATCATTTCATCGAACACAATCAGTAAAAAATAAAATGATTTTGAAATTATTTTATTTTTTTTTGTTTATCGATTGTTTTTTTTTTCTTCTAGGATGATATTGCTGTTTCTTCACTTAACAATACATCAACGAATACAGTTCATAAACAAGTAAAATATAGCTTCCGTAATCTGGAAAAATTTTCGTTTATCCCTAGCGAATTTGAATGAATTTACATAGCAAGGGTTGCTTCTCTCCTCAATGTCGTGAATCCTATCTTCTTACGACAGAACTACGTGAACTGATAGCTACCGTTGGAACTCAAAAGGCACGTATTAGTTCGGGTAGTTTCTTCGTCAGTAGTCGCCCTCCATTCACTCTTGATGACCTTGGCAGATCCTAAATAGATTTATATTAATATTTTTTATTTATTTAGGCGTTAACAGGTGCACGTCGTTCAGGTTTACAATGTGCGAATTGTCAAACACAAAATACAACATTATGGCGACGAAATAGTGATGGTGAACCAGTTTGTAATGCATGTGGATTATATTTTAAACTTCATCAGGTAAAATTTTAAAAATCAATGTTTTGTTTTTTAAATAATATGAATAATCTATTTTAGATTGCACGTCCAATGAATATGGTTAAGCCAGGTATTCAAACTCGTCGTCGAAAACCAAAAAGTAATAATGGAAATAATTCCGGTGTTAATCCAAATTCGAAATCTAAACATAATAAACATATTACAACAACAACATCAATTAAAGAACCTGCACCGTGTGCATCGGAACCAACTCTTGATTATGGTTTAGCAACAACACGTAACAATAAAAAAAAAATGACGAAAAAAAAAAACAAAAATGTTATTTGGTTTTTTTTCTATTAGATATTGGACGGCAAGGTACATATCATCATGAATATAATTCCGTACGAAATGAATTATTTCCACAACATCCTCATTCTCATCTTGGTCATCATCGACATCATCCATATGCTACAACACTCGAACAACATCATCGTTTTTCATCTCAACAACCGACTCTTCTTCAATATCAACAACAACAACAACAATCCGATATGACATCTGTTGTATTTGATGCTGAACTATGTGCGAGAGAAATTGTATCATCACCACTTTCGTCTACAGGTTCATCGAATGTAGTTAATGGTGAAGAACATCATTCCACTGTACTACCAACAATTGCAACTGCAGCTGCTACTACTGACTCCCAACCGTGATAAGATCAGATAGTCGTCATTTGTTGCTTCTTTTTTTTTCTTATTTGTTTATGTATGTGTGAATGTGTCCGTTTTTTTTTCTCTTGTATGTATAAAAAGAAAAAAACCAATTCTAGGGCAGGTTAAAAGTGAGCTCTTTGTGATGCGTTGATGATTCTGTTTTTTTTTCTTTTGTTCTTTCTTTCTTTTTGTTTTGTTCGAAAAAAAAAATAATTTATACTTGTTCGTTAAGACTTGATGTTTAGATATTAAGTATTTGTATATAATGAATCATGAAATGGACAAGATGAATATTTTGAATTATGTTTTGATTTGAAAACTTTTTGATTAGTTTAATAATTGAAACTTTTTGTTTTCAGTAATTGAGCTCATGAATAATCAATTTTAATAATATTTTGATTATAACTTTTATTCTTTTTCAACACACCAATTTGATTGTTTTGTCAGAAGATGCATCGTCATATTCTCTAGAAAAACTTAATTAGACGTTTGTAGAAAGTTAAATGAAGAGTATTGAACATGTAAAAATAGACTAATTTTTTAAGTAAATTTCAGAGTAGTCTATAGACAATAAAATAGAAGTAAAAATAGTTTTGAGTGCGTTGATATGTGATAGTTCGTTCAATTTCAGCCGGATATTGAAACTTTCTTCTTTTTGTTCATTAGTTCAATGCAAGTATTTGATTAGAACGTTTTTTTAGCTTACACAGTTGGTTCACTTCTATCTGTTAAGTATTCTTCGTTCAATTTTTCTCTGAAGCTGTCTATAAAAATAAATTATGATTAAGTTTTTCGTAGAGAATTAGACGATACATCTTCTAGGAAAAAAAAATAAAAAGTTATAATCAAAATACTGAGAAGTTCACTATTTATTGGGGATTCGATATTTCCAGCAGTGGTTGAATTTCGTGAGTTCTCAACCTCTGGATATAGATGTGAGCTTTGGTTTCCATTCTTTTTACACCGACATTCACATTCATATTTGAATATCCACGAAAAAGATTGTGCCGTATATTTTATCATCTATCGTGATAGTTCTAGTATTCCAAATTTCTGGATGTGTGACACTACTACAGTTGTTTAAAATTTGTAGATCAGCAAAGTTTGATGATGTCGATTTCCTTTGAAACGCTACCGTTGATCTGTTATCTGAATTTCAACAGACTCTTAAGTTCCGTGAATTCGATGAGTGAAGTTGTACTTTTGAGAGTTCCATGAATTTAGAACTCAGGAAATTCGACAATGTTTCTGAAGTTGGTATGTAACAAAAAAAAGTAAGGAGAAGAAGTCGAAGTATTTAATATTTCTTGCTGCAAAAAAAAGAAATGTCAAATATTCAGCTCAAAAAAAAAGACCGATGCTTGGATATATTTTCATGTAAAATTTGACGCTTGAGTACAATTTCAATGATAACTACAAATACAAGAGTGAAATAAATATTTAAAACTATTACAAGTTTGTTTCGAAAATAAATAATGTCTTATGAACTTTGAAACTACCTTTGTATCGACAATGATTGGTATATTAACCGATTTGTGATCTAGCTTTTGAGACCGATTGATTGAAAGAGATTTTGTTCTCAATATATATATCACTACTAGACAGTCGTTTTATCATAACAATCAAGAATAAAACAATCAAACAATGATTGAAAATATTAATAGAAATAAATCAATTTATTAGTTATCTATTTAAGATTAAAATAAAATAGTAGGACAAGAAAAGTATTTATTACTATAGAATATTGAATAAAAATAAATCTCATAGGAAAATAAATCTCATAGGAAAACACATGTCTATTAAGTGAATGAATCAATGTACAAAAACAAACTCATAGACAAAATTATACATCAAGTTTTTTTTCAATTATCCTCTGACCTTTGATACCAACCGCTTATGAGGAAGCATACTTGAATGTTCAAGCAACTTGTACTTAATTTTTTGGTCATAAGTAGAAGCTTTCGACTTGTTATGAGTTATTTCGGAAACATTTGAATAACATATTTTTAACTCAATATTAGCCTTAATGAAAGTTTTCAGAATGATTAATAAAAGCATATTGGTTTGAGCTTAAATTTTTGGAACATTCTAGTAATTTAGAAGCTTTTTCTATTGGCTAAACATTAGATCCAAAAATATGTTTTTCGAGTGTTTCCCAAATACTTTCCGATAGATCGAATACTCAGTAAAACAGTAATCTCTCGACATGAAAAATTTTTTCTCATACTTCATCCAGAATTTTGTTTACACTGAGACTTTTATAAGATTTGAACAAAAGTTTCAATAACGAAAGATTTTAATGAATTATTTCATGAACAAAATTCTCATTATGAATACAAATCTATTCGAAAATGATAATATCGCCTGGAACAATCAAAAAAATATGAAGTTATTCAAAAGTTAAGTCCAATAATTATTGTATGTTCGTTTATTGATCCGTTGCATAATATGAAGCAATCGTTTACATTTTTCAAAAAAAAAACAGTTATCCATTTGAAATAAAAACTTTCTAATTACTTTTTTTATAGACTGACTTATTTATTAAAGTTCTCTAAAAGAAAAATTTTAACTTATCTTTTCATTGTAAAGTTCAATAATGATTGTTCTATTAATTTTTTTCACACCTATTGTTCAATTATTATCTTTCGTCTTAGTCAGTAAATCATTCATATTGATTGTCATAATCAATCAAATTCAGTTTTCGGACGACAAGCAAAACTATCCTTTTCTTTTTTTTTTTTTTTATTGATATATACTTTTTAACATAAACTATCATATTAAGACAAGTCGAAAGTTGAGTCGTCGTGTGTCCTCTGACATAAGTTCTACTGTTTCAATATGATGGTAGTTGAACTGGAACAGTGCCTTCGTCCTAAATGACCTAATATTAAGATGGCATGATGAATAATCGAAGCTGCTGTTCACCATGATGATGGACAGTAGGGGGTATTCGATTCCACGTTTATATATATATGTATATAGAGTAAAGTACCATGATGTCCATATTGAATAAGTTTGATGGGTGATAAGGAATGAATTTCAATTTATCATCGTTCTATGTACATAATATATCCATTTAAGGAATCATCATTAACATTATTATTGACGAGTTGATTACAATATCAAATGTTTAATAAAAAATAGCCCCTCAAGCTGTTTTACAAATGCAAAAGGAAAAATTCTTATTTTATAGATACTTTCTTTTTTTTTTTGTATGTAAAACCTAACATGTGCAATTATTTCCCCTACTCTTATTCATCTCATATCAGTCTACATCCCATTTAGGCGCGTCTTTGTGTTATCTTATCTATCAGTTTTTTTTTCTCCCTCTCTCTCTTTCTCGTTTTTCCCGTCGTTTGTCTATGTACATTCTATAAAGGCAAGTGTATAAGCGCTTTATTAGAAGAGCAATGTGTGTGATCTTTAGACACTTATACATATACATAGATGAGAACGGCAAGTATAACAACAACTTTGATTGCTCAATATATTGTTTACCAAGCAAATGATTTGTATGATAAGAAAACTTATTTAAATTCTTTTAGAATAAATATTTTATTTTATTTTTCAATATATCTTTTTTAAATAAACAAAACAAAAAGAAAACGATATATAACGAATTATAGATAAAAATCAGTACTATATTACTTTCTAATAATAACAAACAACTATTTTAATCAATTATTTATTTTTTTTCAAAAAACGTATATGTATATATAGATAAACTTTATGAATTCTATATGTTTCTTATTTTCAACCTCCGCATGTTGTTGAAAAGTCATTATGCTGTCAATTAAGTAGCAATGATGATGGCTAAAAGAAAATGAAGGCAAGAGAAAAAAAAAACACAACAAGTGTGCGTAGGTTTAGCTTTATATATCTATTCCCGTATGTGTGCATCAGACAGAAATCAATCGTTGTCGTTCATTATTCTCATTTCTCTCGACACTTGCTCATAGTCATACGCTTATCGCATTATGTATAACGAAATACAAAACAAAATCATCACATATTTCTTTTTTTTTTTAAACGATTTAACATCTGGACTAGTGATGCATCGATGATTGAAATACAAAAAAAAAAGAAACCTAAGAATATTAGACTTGGTTTAAGTCAATTTATGTTTTAAAAACACGTGCCGCATAGAATCTATTTGAACAATAAAGAAAAATTTTCGTATCATATCTATACATAATAATTACCCATGTCACCATGTTCACCTTTTGATCGTCACTCTGGTCTATGTCTCATCATCATAGAAGCAAACGAGAAAAAAAAAATGATCATCACAGGTATAATATTAATGTAGAGAACTCATGCTGTGACCGACCATCAACACTTATATGTGTGTGTGTGAAATGTGATTCTTGGAAACATCCAAGCAAAAACAAAAAGCTTTCTATTATGAATAATCATTGGCACTGAAATAAACTGAATTGATTCTTTGAAGACTTGACGGTGACAAAATTGTATATGATAGTCGATAATAATACAAGAGCTTTCGCTCTTTCCGCCCTATCGAAAAAAACAATAATTATTAGAATAATTTTATATTTGTTTATAAATGTTCTAACTAATGTTTTATTTCTTAATTTTGAAAAATAAAACAAAAAAAAAAATAAAGAATTCTTGATTATATCCCCGATGAATTTTACAGATACATAAATAATATACTCATTCCTACCTATCTTTAGTCCGTTTTCGCTCGTGCATAGCGCCCGAGAGGCACATCGCCGTTTTGTCTCAAAACACACATACACTGATTGTGTGCACATGCATATGTAGATTCTAGATTTTTCACTTGTCCTTATCTATTTTCTTTTATTCCAGTTTGTTCGTTTTCCACTAGCACCTTCACTCTATAGCCATCCGTTATTGCCGCTTTCTTTTTTTCTCACATGCACAAATGCACATCGTTTCTATTTGATCTTTGCTTGAGAGTATGTATAGACGAACATAATGATAGATCTCAACGTTGTATGTGTGTGTGTTTTTTTTTC